TTTATAAATCCTAACTCTGTCTACAGACATGTAAGGGACAGCATTTCACATTTAGTTTTTTGTTATTGTTTGAATACATAAATATCAGACAAGAGAAAGAAATAATAATATTATATTGCAAATATGCAGCATCATAACAGCATATTGAAGCTAAAAACAACAATCCAAACATCAGAATTAAACATCAATGTAACAAGAAAAGATATGGGTTACCCCATATCCAAGATATTCGACTTTTAATTTATTCGAATTTTCATTGTGTTCAGATGATTTCTAATAAAAAAAAAAACAAGTATTTACTGACAAAACGTCAGAGATACTCAAGCTGTAGAAAGTCAACTATAAAAGTGCCATATACATAAATATCCTAAAATGACATAATATTTAGGCTACTGAGTTTCTACATCTTTTGTTGAATAAAATATGCATATAGTAGGAAACAAACTGAATGTACATATATAACGTTACATGCATGTAGTGACTTTATCACAAAGTTGCACATGCATAAAAATAGTTTTAATTTCACATAGAACATAAACTAAATATAATTAATCGTATAATTTTAAAAATGTATTTAACACCTCACTCATTTTCAGGAATATTTAATCCAAATAGCATGTTACAGGCCTATAGCAACGTTTTCAAAGTGAAAGGGGGGGGGGGCTCCCAAAAAATCCCGCGTACTATGGGCCTGTGCTACATGTGTACCATCTAACTTTCCAATGATAGAAACTTCTGTAAAAAAAAAAATCAAAACAAGTCCAAGCCGTTATGAATTATCAAAGATAGCCCATTTTCATAAATAACAAAACTTTAGATCTATCAAGGATAGATTTTAATTTATTTTTTAATTTTGTGCTATTAAAAAGTACTATCACTCAAGGTATAGGCAGATGTTAAAGATGGTCCAACCTGTCACCTTTTAGATTAATCAATGAACTCGTCCATTGATGCATTGACGGCCGTTGTTAAACGCAAAGGAAAGCGCGAGATCGGTTGCGGCTATGGAGCATCACTGAATATTCCTCCACCATATACTGATTTTGAATATACAGACGTTTTGAAGATAAACTTCATTTTTGTTTCTAGAAATGTTTTTATTTACAAAAATAGTACATTTTCGTGTTAGATCGATGACCATAACTCAGCCCCTCTAGCCCAGTCTACGGCTTCACCTTGAGTAAAAACCTGCACTTGTTATGAAACTGGTGTATAGTTCTAAACTTCTTTATGTCTGTAGAAAGTACTGATACCCAGTCTACTGATCTAAGCGTCACTAGGGAACGGTGCACACACCTGTTCTTGCAAGACCAAATAGCCTAGGTCTACACACGTGCGAAGATCTTTCCGAGCTCGGAAAATCACGTTGCTTTGCCGAAAAGTGTTTAACCATAATAACCATTCCGTTATTTAAAAAAAGAGAGAAAAAACACACAGTTAATGATTAACATTCTAACTCAAAAGAAAATATACGGCAATTAACGAACAATAATCATGACAGTAATATAATTGGTGAAAAGATTTATAATTATCAATCGAAGTGTGACCTATATATTTTCGTGAAAAAGACTGAGGAGGCAGCGAGCGTAGGAATATGAAAACTTTTTATTTGCTTTTCTGGGGAAAAAGTGATTTTCTTAAAATCTTTTAATGTTAATTTTGTTTTCTTTAACGTATTAAATATACATCATTATTCTTAATATTTGTTGTAATGTTTTATCTACTGATCATGAATGGAACTATTTTCTTCGGAGCAATTGTGTGAAGAGTACCTGACTTTAGTAATATATCTTGAATAGATAATATGCACTGATCGAATATATTAAAAAATTTACATGTCATGTGAAAGGATTGTAAAAGTTATGACACTTTCCCTGTCATGTCTCCTCAAGTTTGCAGTGACTTTACGTCATATGCTATTATGACATCATATCTAGGTAGTTCAGAGAAGTTACTACGGCTGGTACACTGTGACATTTCTTCGGACAGTCTTATCCTAGCTGCGAAGCTACATGACAACTCCATAATCTAATTTTTAAAAAAATTGTATGTTCACTATTTTATTTTGGGAATTTCCCAACAAATTGCGAAAAATTGAGCCTATTTTCCATTGGGAAATAGGGACAAAATTACAGCCCCTGAGAAGGTACTGATAAATCCCTGTATTCATATTGACCCCAAGCTCTCCCGTATCAGGAGGTAATTTAAGTGACTCAAGAGCTTCTACATCCTATAATTCTTTGCCAAATCTACATTACTTTGGTGGCCCCTGTCACACTGGGTTATCAACTGGGGTTAAATAGCTCCATTAATGAATGTATACATCTCAACTCAAGAAGGCCAGAAATGAACATTAAATTCAATCCACAAACTGAAATGTCCCTTATAATCTATTAAGGGGACACAATCATCTGGAAGACTGGCAGAAAAAAGAACATTTATTGATTTGGCTGGCATCTTAGTTAATGAGGTAAGATAGAACAGCTACAATTTAGGTGGAAGAAAATGGCTATCTGTTGCAAGTCATATTCCTGTCCAGATTCCCAATTTCAGACCCATATCTACTCCAAAATTATACATTGTTGCATGTCTACATAGTCCAAAAGATCGATTCCAAGAAGGAATTAGTTATCAAACCACTGATTGTCCTACAAAATTCAATAACCAAATTGGCGCTGTTTATCCTCTAACATATTACTCTTTGGATAGTACTACTTTTGAATGATGAATTTTTTTTTTAACCCCAAGAAAGACATAACCCATAAAATACTACTGACTTGAAATATCAACTACAAAGAGAAATTTCATATAAAGTCTACAAAATCTAAGGCCATTTCAAGTTTTTTTTTTATGTTTATCATCCATGAGTGGATTGGCTTTGAGGTAATGAAAGTGAAAACACACACACATACTAAAAAATCCTCAGATACATATTTTGCAACACATTTTACTCTACTGGGATTGGCATCTCATTTTTTTTACATTCTTTTTTAAGTTTTACCAAAGATGCAAAATTTTATTTGTGTTTTTTACCAGTTGGTTTGTGTGTTTTTCCTGGATGGAAAGACAAGGGTTTTGATTTTAAGGTGGTGGCTATAATCATAATAAAAACTTGGCATGGCCAAATTTAGAACACGTACATCTCTATAACTGAACATGGATCCTTCTTGTAGAATGAAATGATTTTGTTGTACTGATAAACTATTTACACCATCTTGGTCTACATGATCTATGCTACATTTTAGAAAGTTAAATATTGATTTTTCCCCGCCTGCCCAATAATATTTTTTAATTAGTTAACAAAATCTCCTAAAGCATAACTGTGTCAAACACGCAGACATCTGAGAAACAAGAAGTTAATTAGATCTTTATTTCAGCTGATAGACCTCGATCCTTAAATAAAGTGTCACAAAAGCAAAGGGAATTCATAACGAGCCTTCACGTTCTTCTCTCTCTTGGGAGTTTTTTCCCTAAAGGAGAATATTGTAGATCACTGATAATTATGACTCCAAATGTGTTGATTCTCTGATTAACTATTCATTGTAACATTTTGCTGTAGATTCTCTGCTTTGATCTAATCCTAGTTGTTTGAAATTACTAAATTCTCATCTTTACATAGAACTTACAGGAATCCCTTCACTGAAATTATGCCAACACATCTGAAACTGGAAATCATTGAAGAAGAAGGTTTTTTGATAGGAAAATCTATTCACAGTGGGAATAAAAAAATTAATTAGTGTCATTAGTGTGCCTTGGAAGAACTTGACAAATTGTAAAGTTCCCTTTTTCCGACATTAAGCATTTTTATTTGACAATAAAAGCTTCTTTTGCACAATTATGGTTGATTTTCCACCACAAAATTGCATTTTATGACAGCTGAAGATATTTCTTGGAGAAAAAAAAACCCAGAAAATATTCAACACACATAAAAGAAGATAAATTGATATGCTTGAGAGTCCCATAGCTATATACGTTGATCTAAAGAATATGACTGATGTGGAAAATTGATCCATATGTATTAAATGAAGACTTAATCCTTTTGACACTGTCACGCCATAGGATTTTCTGAGCTAAAGCAACGAGTTAATCCATTTATCATAATTTTCCCTTTCTAATTCTGCAAATCACATATTTTTCACTTTTGAATCTTGATAAAAAGAATGAAAATTTGAAATAGGGGTGGTCTCAATAGTTCAGGCAAGATCGTAGGCAGCCTGGGGAAAATGCAAAAAGTTGATGCAGGTTAAGTATAGATATTGATGTAAATAGAGATAGTGAAAATTTGAAATTTAAATTATACATTATCATTTCCAGGCCTAAATTGAACCTTTTTGTTTACAGTATTGTACCCTTTCAAATGGGAATTTTAAATTGAAAATTAGTGGCAAGATTTGGAAATATTGATGTTGGACTTATATTAATTATGTCTTCATGTAGAACAAAGACAGTTAATTGTAGGCCTATCCTCTATTAACATCCTTAAGAACCATTAAAATCTCAAATTTCATAATATTCTTTAATTGAAAAAAAAAAATTAATCTGGTTGTCATTTTTTACCTTAAATGTGTGGGGAAAAAAAAATTTATCTGGTTGTCAATTTTTACCTTAAATGTGTGGAAATAAAAACAGTCGATTTTCAGTTGGGACTGGGTTCTTTTACTGGACCTGCATGCAATGATTATCAAGCCCTCATTTCTCTAACTTAACTCTATGCAAAAATAAAGCCTCGGAGTTTTGAGGACCACTACTCAGAACAATACAGGACACAAAAAAAAGATGTATGGGACATGGCCCTCTACAGATAATATGGTTCATTTTTTATCTTGCTGCAAACTAAATTGATTTCATTCAATTGGATAACTTAGTTTCAATAAATTGATTTCATTCAATTGGATAACTTAGTTTCATGCAACATCATTTAAAACTCCTTTTTTCATTTCTTGCTCAACATGTCTTTGAATAAGGTTATTAACTAATTATTTATACCTATCATAACCCACCTGTCATGGTAAAGACCCCCACTAGAACCCCAATGTTCCTCCCCGCCAGCATCACATTCTCACTGTCTGTTTCCCCTCGGGATTTTCGAGCTGCCCAGAGTCCCACCCCTAGGATTAAGATGTAGAAGATGATGACTGCTACGACTCCCACCACGTGGACCCCCATAATTGTCTGGGAGGAGTTTCTTCAAGTGTCCAGTCAGCTCTGCCAGAAGGGGGCCAATGGCCAAGTCCAGTAGGCTATGGAGGAATTCTGGGAAGAATTGTAAGTGCCAGACTTTAAGTTATATGTAGCATGAAATTGGTATTTTAAGTAAATTAATATTATTTTTACTTTCTTACTACTAAATAAAAAGTTTTCAATGTTATAGATAAGATTTTTCTCTGCAGAAATTTTACTTTGGAGTTGTATACTATAAAATATTTACTCATTTACTTGCAGTGTAAAACTTTTTATTAATATTTAGTCCCCATGAAATCATACTTGGTATGAAACCATGAAATTTTATACCAGTTTTAAGAAGATATCTTTTGCCATAGTATAATACATTAAGACGTTTATAAAAATTGATTGCAAAGAAATTTAAGGAAGGATTAATATCGAAGATTCATTGTAAACAAATTTTCTGTTTCATGTGAAGGAAGTTTTGGTGGACAATGCTCAAGTATATAAAAAGAAAAGATGCCTTCCAAAAGGAATTTAAAAAGACAATATTTATGTATGTGTTCAAACGGCAAAATTCTGAAAGATAGAAAGTCTACAATGAAGGCTTTAAATATAGATCAACTTGATTTAAACTCTTTTATTAAATTTAACCTCTACTGATTTTTCCCTACATAAAATTAGAGTGTTAGATGTGAACAATTCCCTAGAAATCACTGTTTTGCCATGCTTTACTTAGTAAGCTAATCCCTGCTTCAAAATTTATATCAGTATAATAAAACAGTTCAAAAGTATATCATTGAGGGAGTTAGTAAAATTCCAGTTCCCCTCAACCAGCGGACCTTTTCACAAAATATCTTATGACTAAGACAAACATTTTCCAATTCTCTATACAGCACCTCAGCTAAAATAGGTTGCAGAAAATCTTAAATTTAAGTTCTACAACATTGGGATATATATTATTGATAATCCTTTATAAAAATTTGATTTATTCATTAAGCAAAGAAATTGTGCACAATTGTCAAATTTTAATCTTAGTAGCAAGATTTTTCTTGAAAAGGTCTGAGGAATTTTTCCCTCAGCTTCGCCTCAGGCAATAGTCCTGGTCTTGGAACACTAACTCCCTCAATAATATACTTTAACTGCATATCAACACTTAAAACCCTGTGCTGTGTTTACCAGTGTTTTTGTAACAATTCATTTCATTTAAAAAAAGGTAATTAAAGAAATTTCTTGTCGACTAAGTCTCCTTGGAGTACAAATCTATATTGGAAAACTATTTCAAGTGTTTAAACTCCCTCAATAATTGATGTGGAAGAAGCACTATTTACAATTCAATCTAATTAACTTATAGAGTGCGATCTCTGACGACCAGACAGGTACATCGATTCTCAATACGAACTTTTTTTGGATCAGCCTTTATACTCACCACCTTATGCAGTCTTTCTGCAGGGATCTGAATTTTTATGTCTCCATGATGCTTCTGTGTGTATTCTTGTTATGGTCCAAGGAAAAGGAAAAGCAACTGTAAACCTGAATTAAAAAAAACCCCAAAAATTCACTCTAGATTTTCTGCAAGAAATAATTTGCATCATATTGTGTTGTTTTGGGATGAAAAATAATTTTCCTTTGATCAGCAATTAGAAGCCTTACAAATAGTTTACATCAAAGAGGATCAAGTCTTAGAAATGAGATTTTTAACACTACAAACACACCAATGGCTTCTTCTAAAGATAAAAAGAAAGAATTAATTGTCAAACTTACAGATTTCAACTCCATAATGTATTGTAGTTATTCACCTATAAGTAGGTCCGCCTATAGGTCAGTTGTATTTTTTTTTTAGCTTATATTGTCAATTGAGCGATTTCCCATTGAATCGCAATTATAAGTCAGACTATACAACTTTTTGTTGGAATCGGTTGACAATTTCGAGTCAATGTTCTAATGTTTTAACCTATGTTTCCAATATTATATTTGAGAAATGACGCCAAAATTTTACAATTACGAGGTGCCCAATGTCCAAGCCATATTTGCTGTTTCTAATTTATAAACATTACACTTAATCTATTGGCAATTATCATGATTAAAGCATAACTACAAATCATGTTCAAGGACACTCTCTACCCTCGGCTCATACATTCACTTCTGTCGTTGGCTCGCGTATATCACAGTGATAAGCACGAGAAATAGTGCGTTTCTATTAATTCATTATAATTAAATGTCTGGGGTAATGATAGTCCTTAAAGATAGATATTTACTAAATAGATATAAAACTATAAGTTTAATTTGAAATAATCCTTGAATTGTTATGTTTTTAACGTTATGTCAAAAATCTTGACGTGAGCCAATTGCAGAGGTGTCTGAGAGAAGAACGAACGACAACTCTGCATAGGAGATTGGTTCAAGGAAGTATTAAATACAAATTTATCTGACCTTTAAGTATGAAGGATTTTTGACGTGTGTTTTGAAAAAATAACAGAACTTATCATTGAATATCTAGTACAGTTTTTGGTAGACAATCTATTTTTACAGTGTGCCACTAACAGTGTATTTTCAATACAAGTTCTTTAGTCGGACACAGAGACACATGTCTGATATTCTGCCAAATCTTCTTTATATTGAAAGTTTTCCAATTTTCGGATAAATCCGTACTGCTTAACAGAAATCAACCAAAATGGACTTTAATTTGGTTCCTTATCTGGATTTGTGGGCAATCTAACATCCACTGCTCTTTCTAAATCTTGAGACAATTTAATTACCATGCTTGATCAATCTTGAATCCAATTGCTACAGCACTCCCAAGATGAGGGCAATTTTTAAAACTCTTTTGAGGAAAAAAGACAACTTAGATGGCTCCTATACGCTGTGAATTGATTTCCTGTGTTTGTAGGGCTCATTACAGCGGTCCCTTTCTAAGATGGACTAACACAGGAAGGCATTTTGTGTAGCAAGTGTAAACAAATGACTAGCATTTCCTCCACTCCAATTGATTAAATGGAGGAGGTTTCATTCTCGAAACAAGATTTTGAACAAACAATAAAAACTCCCAAGTTTGAGTATGACCGATGGGTATTGGATATGTTTTGTGTTATGGCACAATTCAGAACATGTAAACCAAGAGAATGCGATGGTCAATGATACTTACAATATCTTAATACCCATCCAAGTGCCAATATTGTAGAATAAAAAAATCTTAACAAATATTTGAATTTTTTTAATTTATTAATGTATGTGCTGGGTGGCCACGGCACCTATAGTTATGTAAAAATTTAACACAATTAAGAACATGTAAACAATGGTCAATGATACACTATCTTAAATCCTACAGTCAAGTGCCAATATTTTAGAATTAAAAAAAATCTTATCAATATTTGATTTTTTTTCAAAATATGTAATATGAATAAAAAACTAATTGGAGCATTACTTATAATAGTTGAATCAGGAATTTCCATTACCCGTACTTTACAACCGACTGTATTAATCAGAAAAAAAAAGACCCAAGGAAAGTTCCTGATCCCCTCAATAGGCATACTTACAAATGCAAACATATTACTCTAGTGTTACACCTATCAACTTTGAAATCTATTTGCTTCTCCTCTGGTAACTTATAAGAATTTTTTTGTAAGCCTGATAGTAAAAGGTTAAATAATATACTCTTTACATCACTTCCTCAAAATATCAACTCTATTAATGGTCTCAACCTCTAATCTATAGACATTAAAAACAGCAGGCTTCCTAAGGCTTAGTAGCTGGGAACTCCGTCATAAGGGGAGAACAGACAGGTAAAAAAGATCCCATATCCTATACAGTGCAACAATATTGTATGAATTATATATTAGTAACTTAAATAGACCTCCTTTATTCATTTCTCTTAAAAATCATCATTTTATGTGAAGTTTGAGGAAGAAGAGTCTATTTAAACATATCAGGGGCAGATCTAGAGGTGGGTTTGGGGGGATTTCAGAATTATTAAGTTTCTATGTTCTAAAAGGGTCCGTTGGGCAAGTTGTTTACGTTTTTTATGCTTAATTGTCCAAAAATTTCTGAGTAAGATGTTTGTTACTGATGATGTGAACCCCCCTTGAAAAAAATCCTGGATCTGCTTCTATGATTCCCCCACAATATAAATATAGAATATATATGGAAATGTGTATGAAGACCACAAGTTGAGATGCCATCAAAAGCATTAATTAATTAATTAGTGTTCAAACTGATTAGATCTGAGGTACATACTTTTTTAGTAAATAGTATAGTTTCATCAATTTTTGTGGAGATTCTGGCAAAAATACAATTTTATTAATGTGTAAATTTATGGACATTGACCTTGTCCTATAATGGGTCAAATATGTAATTCTTTGATCACCTAAAAGATCTAGCTCAACCATGAAAACTGTGAAAATTGGTTTTTAGCAAAAAATTATGAAACTTTAGTACCTCTTACCGCGTAGAACCTAAGAGTATCACATCTTTAATAAATTAAATAGTTATTTGCTTTTTACTGATATGTTTAATACTTTTGAGTCTCAAATCTCTTAGCTATAGATCTGTAGCTCACTGGTCTGAAAAAATTGGGATGGACGACCAGAGAGCTGCAGTGCCACCCATTGTCAAAAGTGTATATTTATTGCACACAAAAAAGTGTGCTGTTTCTTGATATTTTTTTTTTTACCATATATTTCAAAATATTAGAAACCGTGTTTCTAACATATTCTTTTACTATTTCCACAACAAAACTGCATGCACAAGTCGTGCACGAAGCACAATGGAGTGAATTATCTTGCCACCTAATATGGCAGTATAAATCTAGGCAAAATTTTCGGTGGTCTCATTTCAGGCTCAGAAGGGCTATTAACAATGGTTTAGGGAAATGATTTGTTGTGGTAGTAAAAGAATATGCTAGGAACACACGGTTAGTAAAATTCTGAGATGGCAGCATAAATAAATGGAGAAATAAATCGAGAATATGGCACACTTTTTTTGAGCGCAATAAATATACACTTTTTTCAATGTGTGGCACTGTAGCTCTCTGGTCGTTCATCCCAATTTTTTTTCAGACCAGGGAGCTACAGATTTGATACTACAAATCTCTAAGCAACAATTTTAATAATAAACTTTTAAGTTTTCTTCCATCCTGTCAAATTTTACTCTAAATATATATTTGCTAATTACTGTGGAAAATTCAATTAAACGCATTAATTTAAGTTATAATGTCAGCACAGCTACTATATAGCCATTGTTATTGTTTGGAAAATGATTAAAACTCTGGAATTAATTTTAACGACATGCCATACTGGTTATATCATTTCAAACAGAAAATTGTAAAATTTATGAATCTATTTAAAAAAATCAAGAATAATATGATAACACTTAAACTTTACAGTGAGATTGCAGTTTTTAACAGTGAAGAATTTAATTTTTTTTTACCTTGTTACAACTGTGAATGCTCCATGGAAATGATCTTGCCACTGCCCGAATTGATAGGACCAGCACAGAATTCCAATACTGGGGGAACAGAATTCCAATACTGGAGGAATATTAAAGTCTCCTTAACACCCACATCTATAGTGTCCAAAAAAGTTTACTCTCAATTTTTTTTAACTGTAAATTTAAACACAATTTTTTTTTTCAAAGTTTTGCCATGTGCCCTGAAATTTAACAAGAAGAGATGGACCAAAAGAAGTGACACAGAGAAATCAATTTTTGCTCATAAACTGCATAGGTCCTCCATAGACCAAAATTATGCTAATCAATAAAGAACTCCTAGGAGAAAACTAGATCAATTCCTGATTGATAGATTTCATGTGTGAATTGACAGAAATTGCTGGATTTAAGACATCCACTGAAAAGACTGTCCACATGTAAAACAATTACTATCTGAATTCTTACACAGCATGCAACTATTGGAAGGTAATTATTGATTGTGAAAAATGTTCAATATCCTAATTATCTTATATTTCAGCATACATAACTTCACTGGGGCCACCTTTACACAAAGCTTTCTTATTTTTACTTAGAACTCTTTAGAAATAACATTAACATAGATTTTAGATTAGCTGAAAATCAATTTTCTATTCTTGGAAAATATTTCTGTATGTAATCATTCTACAATGACACCCCCTCAATTTAAACATCTATATAAGGACCTTGATTAGTATCCACCTTTTTTTATTTCATTAATTTTTCTTTTTGGGGCCTCACTTTTACGTCACAATAAAACAGATGCCGAATCTTCCCACAACATCGATCTGCCGATTTAGTTCTGATCAATGAATCTTGGAAAAGTTGAAAAACGTAATAGCTGCCCAGGTACAATTGCCATAATTGAAAAGCATACAACTTGAAAAACTTCAAAAACAATTTTTTTAAAAAATGAAGTAATTTGTCACCACCTACATTCAGAATGTAAACAAAGGAGAGATTTTTGAAATTTAAAAAGAACTTGGTCCAATTTTGGCCTTGACACAAGGTTAACAGTTTTCTAAATTTTCTTATTTTTGTATCACTAATGCACTGGTAAAGTTGAGTCTATAAAATATTTGTATTTGTAAAGCAATCCATCTCTCTGATTTTCTATTCCGTTAAACAAGTAAAATTCAGATGTATAACACATCATGTTCCAAATGCCAAATATTCATGGACTGAAAGGATATAAATAGAATATAATATATATGGGGTTAGATAATATGATTTTTTATCCAACGAGTTGTGTGTTTTTATTCCCAAGCCTTGGCAAGGGGATATAAAACATATAAATTGGATAAAAAATTATATCTTAACACAAACCATTGGAGATTCTTTTTAATACACGTTTTACGCATAGCTATTTCATGTTTTGCACTTTTTTTAATTTATGTAAATCGATCCACAATAAATACCATTGTGAGTAACAACTGAAGGTATGAAAATGATATTCTATGAGCTATATCCACTGCATAAAGGAGTAAACATGTGATAAGTATAAATATTTTGTCAATACATGCACTATTTTATTTTTTAAATTTTTAATATCATCTATTATTGAAATCCTTTTCAAATTTGTTTGCAGTTTTAAGTACAATTAATAAGAACAAACTAGCCAGGGGTTCTTTAATATTAATGTCTTTCAATAACAAATCAGTTTAAATCTGTTAATATTCTTTTAATATTCTAAAATGTTAAAATTTAATAAATTGTTTCAAACAATAAAAATTCAGGAACATTGCACAGATTGAAAGACAAATAATGATGCTTATGAATTCTGATATAAGAAACTGGAAATATTTTCAATACCTCTGTTTTTACCTCCCGAGTCAGACCACCACATTGTCTGTAGAAGCCAATAGTCCCCCCCACATAAGACCTGATAATTGTATATTATCAGTCTCTATAACCAATAGTTCAATACTTCTATCTTGGGATTACCATAGAAACCAAGCCGTTCTGCTAGAAATTCTCTGACAATTTAATCTTATAACTCTGCTTCCAAGCTTTACGGGGAAACCTTTCAGCCCTAAAAATGGCAATTTTGAAGTACAAATTAAATCATTTATTCTTGAGAAGATTTACACGAAATTCATTAAAGATACAAAATGTCCCAATCACATAAAGCTTTTAGATATAGTACCGAGCTAATAAAACAATGCTCTAGAGATCTGAACCCTGTGTTTCTATTCTTGTTCAAGGGTTAACTTATTTAATCAATCATCCATTCATAAACGAGGCCAACAATATATCTACAAATAATCTGATGTAATGGAATAAAGGGAAAACAATTATGGTATTTGTGTCAGCATCACTAAAAATTTACAGGATTTTCATGCCTGCATACATGACACAACTTCCTTTACACTTAAGATGGCCAGGGTTTTAGACCTGAGAAATGAGTTAACACTTGATGAACATGACAAGAAATTTTTAAAGACAATAATGCAACGACAATTGTTGTAATCACTCCTAAATTACCTGCTCAAATGAGTCAGAAGCAGCCCCTGTAAATTAACAAAATCATGGTTTGCGGTAAAATTCAATATTAAACAGCTTATCATTATTCGAATTTCAAGATGAAATGTTAAGGTCAACTTCAGATGAATTGTCAAGGCCAAGGTCAATTTACGATGAAATGTGAAGGCAAAGGTCAATTTCAGATGAGATGTCAAGGCCAAGGTCAATTTCAGATCAAATATCAAGGGTTAGGTCAATTCCAGTTCAAATCTCAAGACATAGGTCAATTTCAGTTCAAATGTCAAGGCATAGGTCAATTTCAGATCACATGTTAAGGGTAAGGCCAATTTCAGAACACATGCTAAGGGTAATGTCAACTTAAGAAGAAATGTGAAGGCTTAAGTCAATTTCAGATGAAATATGAAGGCCAAGGTCAATTTCAGATCACATGCAGTATCTTTCATTAGCATTAGTTTAAACTAAAAGCTGATGACTACAGAAGGTCCTCTACAAAAAGTGTTTAATTTACTAAGAAATATAATATCAAGGTAATGGTTTGTTTGTTTGTTGTTTAATGTCCCTCTCGAGAAATTTTCACTCATATAAAGACGTCCCCATATACCGGTGAAGGGCTTCAAATTTAGACCTTTACTCGGCACTCAGGGCCATTCAGCAGTGAGGGTTCTTTATCGTGCCAACGCCTACTGTGACATGGGGCCTTGGTTTTTAAGGTCTCATCCGAAGGACCAGCAACTTTCACTTCAAAGTGCCGAGTGCTTCGTGAAGGAACAGTTGCTACTTATTTTTTATCGATTTAGGTCAGTTGCAGCCTTGATTCGAACGCACGACCTTCCGATCACGGAGTGAGTGCTCAACCAACTAAGCTACCATGACGGCGAGAAAAGTGTTTAATTTACTAAGAAATAAATATCAAGATAATGTTAACCTTCAATGCTGACAAGGACTTCAGTCCTCTCCTCCTTCTTCACCATGTAAAGTTTGATAAGGAAATCGTATTAGGCTTTGCTCAGGCCCTCTTTAAAATAAGGTTTGTTTGCCCTCTCCTGACTCAGGATAAAAAAAAATGGTGGGAAAATTTTTTTTTCCTAGAAAAGTTCAACAAACATATTGACAGGATGAGAAAATTCAGGAATAGAAAGAAACAAGAGGCCCAAGGGTCTTAACAGTCACCTGAGTATAATACAACAATTTAAAGGACCCATAGAGTATAAAATGAACTGAAAGGTGAAGCTTTGTTGCCCAAAAGCAAGACAAATACAGTACCAACCAGACCCAACCTGACACAAAGCAGTCCCAGAGCAGTCCCGGGGACTGCTTTCTGGGACTGCTAAAGTCCCAGAGCAGTCCCACAGCGGTCCCAGCGGTCCCAGAAAGCAGTCCCAGCAGTCCCAGTGGGTGGGGTTAATTAATTTAATGGGCGGAGCTTACTCAGAAATGAGATTACCAATAAACAATGTAACTATAAAAGGCAGTTGAAATTGATGATCCATTTCTTTCTGAGCAGTATTAATTCTCATGCGACAGTCATTCTTTAACTGTTAAGAAAATCACACTACGCGTATAGAAACAAATAATAAATATTGAACAAAGAAGACGTTCACACCTATAAATAACATGAATATTTAAACACAGTTTTGTGGTATATTAATTTTTCACCAAAATAAATCAATTTCTAAATTACTGTGATTGATATTGGTTTCCATATTTATTTATTTTTTTTGTAGATAATTAAGCTTGAGTTATTTATTTTCTATCAAAACTAGCTTTAAATAGGCCTTATAATTATAGAGCATGGCCAATTTCCATACTATACTCTGAATGCAGTCTTCTTAAGTATTGGAGCTTTTGAAAAATTCTTTGTATATTATATTTCAGTCATGATTATTTTCACTGACTTGCCAATTTAATTATCGTTAAATTATCTATGTAACAGAAAACAATAATACTTTTATTATATAAACGTTTGAGTGTACATCTGTAAATCACGCGAATGGAACCCTCAGATTATGTTCAAAATTAATTAATCCCGAAATAAATTTATACACATTTATTGAAACCAAGATTTTTTGCAGTACATAGATTGAAATTAGTGTCAATGTTGACCAGCATGTTCAGTGATGTGTAACACTGATACCCAAATAACATGCATTGACTCTGCTAATCATGCCCGAAGGCGATTGAAACTTCAGGTGTTGGCACCATTTTATACATTGTATTGCTTTTTATTAATCGGCCAGGAAAACACAAACAAAACAAATAAGAAATAAGTCACAATTCCCAATATTTTAAAATGTTTATAAATTTTCGTTTTTAATTACTTGTTTATAAATCAAAAACAAATTCATAAATAAATCTCCCAATAATTGTTCACAAATATAATGTTTTAAATGACTGAAGAATGGTAGAATAATTTTATTTCATGGTCATTTAATAAATTATTAGGTTTTATTTGAGGGCGGTAAAAAAGCATGCATATGGTTTTAGCATGCATATGGTTTTAGCTTTTTCAGTTTAAAAAAAAATCCAGTACAGTACGTCCCTCTGAATGTCTTATTGTAATGACAAGTTTGTTTGTTTTGTTTTTTGTTTGTTTGTTTGTTTTCAAATAGTGCTAATGCAAACTTTGAGTACATTCCGTAACTTGACAGCATTAATTCATTAAATAGGCCTCAATTTTTTTTTTTTCAAACACCTGTATTAAAGTTTTAATTGGCATTAATTAATTAAATAGGCCTAGACATATTTTTTTTCAAACACCTGTATTAAAGTTTAATTTAAAGGATAAAAGTCATCTCCTGACTTCCCTTTTAACTACTTTCATTTTTTAAAATTAATTCTAGACTACAATTGTGTAAATTTAGAGCCCCTGAAGACATTTAGTAATTACATGTATATCTATCTCTACTTATTAAAATCCTTGGTTTTTTTTTTTAATTCTTTATCTTAAACACCTCTCTGCTGAAAGTAAACAAAGCAACAACAGGGAGCCTGCAAATTCAGAATACACAAGGGGCGGAGCTATCATGTCACTCAGAACCTTTTTCATGCATGAGTGAACAAAGCAGTCCCAGGGACTGCTGGGTCTGCTTTCTAGAGCAGTCCCAGAGCAGTCCCACAGCGGTCCCAAAGCAGTCCCGGGGACTGCTTTCTTGGCCTGCTTAGGTGTC